ATATCCTTACAATTTACAGTACTATGCTTTTTTACTGATTTTCATGTGGATTACAGATTAAGTATTATTAAGCAGGGTGGTTCTAAAAAAATCTTTTTTTTTTTTCATTTTTTTTAAGATGAGGTTTTGCCTTTATCTTTATTAATATTTTGTATTGAAAATCCACTATAGTTTTTTCTGGCCAGAGCCAATTTACAAAAATTTTTACAAAATTAAGATTCAGACTACCAGAAACTATCTAAACTAGAAATTCTGATTCATCTGCAATCTAAACCTACTAGAGTGATTAAAACTCATCTAGATTTGATAATATAAAATATTGTTAGTTGGAGTGCTATATTTAATCCATGTAATAGTCTATAAAGATATTTTTCTAATTGTTTTTCCAAGGGGTGGACAAATATTATCATTATATTGTTGATCTGATAGCAGCTATAATTGTTTGGTATTCTAAGTTGTGTTGTATTATGAATGTTTGTTATATAAGTAGTTGTTGTACTGCGATTGGGTCTTGAAGGTATATGGTTTTGTTGCTTTCATTGCGAGAGGTATGTACAGTATGATATTCATAACTGATCATATATATTTTATAATAATAGTAAAAGTAGTTAAATAGTTGTTTTTGTTGCAATTTAGGTAGAGTCTGTATATTCCCTTATAGTTTGTATGAGAGATGTAGGAATAAACTCTTGTATTGTTATATACAGGTTAATATTATTATGCTAGTAGTTGTATGAAAAGCTTGGATGGTTTATAAGCCTAGTTTATAATTCTTGTAGTTGAATATTAGTGATATCTAGTCTGAATTGTTGCAAAAATTATTGTATAGTGTTGGTGATGAATGTGTTTAGTTTAGATATTTTTGGGCAGATAAGCCAGTGTTCTTGATTTTCTCTTGAATTACATGTTATATAGTTGTTTGTTAGAATTAGTAATGGGTATAATGTATGTTGATATATTAGAGTAGAAAGTGTGTTAAGCATAAGCTTAATCTTAAAAGTCTTTTGCTGACATAGTTTAAAGTTGGTATAGATAGTTGATCTTTTGTAATTGTTGTTTAAATATAACCAGGTTGCGTTTTAGTTAATTTGAGATGATATAGATATAATGTTGTCCATTTGATATTGAGATGACTACATTGCAATAATATAGGCATTGTATATATTTTTAATAGATCTGCGAGTTGGTTGTTCATATATATATTGTTCATATTGAATTTGATATGATAGATTATATATATTGTTGTTTATAAACTGAAGTGTGGTTAAATAGTTAGCATTTTTTGCTAATCTATTGGCTAGATTGTTAAAAGCATTATCACTATGTGCTATAACCTTTTCTAATTGAATGTTGAGCTTGTAAGCTTTGATTAGATTAAGTGAAGTATGCCATATTGGCCAGTAATTATAAGAATATTTTTTGTTAGATATAGATAGTGACTGTTCAAGTTTTTTGTATTTGAATATAATGGATTGTAAGTCTGTGTAGATAGCAATAGAGCTTTTTCTTAGACATGTATTAATAGCAAAAAGTATTGCAATTAGTTCAGCTTTGTAAGATGATGGCCAAAGTTTGATTTCTGCTGAATAAGTCTGAATAATAGTGTTGTCTTGGGTTTGAACTCATCCAATTCCCATAGTACATTGTTTTGTAGTAATGTCTCTAACAGAGCCATCAGTATAAAATGATAAATAGGATAATTTGAGTTGTTTTTTGCAAGTTGTATTAATGTTTGTGATAGTTGGTTATCAATAAAAATTTCGGATATTGTATGTTGATTGTAGATTGTATTGGTATAGTTATTGGATTACGTAATGCCAAGAAATACAGTAGGTCAAACAAATTAGCATGAAGGTTAAGTATAGTACTAGTTTTTGTATATTTTGGTCTTTCTAGAAATTTTATTAATGAGCTAGCTGAGATGTTGATTGTATATTTGGTTTGAATTTTGTTAGAGTTTAGAGAACATCCTATATATAGCTTGCATGTATAGGTTGGTGATGGGTAGAGATTAATATGTGTATTGTCAAATGTGATATCTCAGTGCGTAATAGATATTAGATTATTAATTTGGTTATATTTTCTAGCATTTCTAACAATAATGTGTTGGTTATTATTATATGTGATTAGCCAGGGCTTTGATTTCTTGTAGTATCTGGTTTGAAATGATAATGAATTGATATTTGATAAATCTAGGTATAGGTTGATTTGTCTGATAAGTTCATTAGTGATTGTTTTTTCTTCAAGCACTTTAAACCATAGAGGTTTATATTCTTTTGGGATTTGTTGTATATATGATAATATGTAGTTCTATACTAGCAAAGTAGAATTATCAAAAGATGTTAATTGTTCTAAATAGATAATATTTTTTAGTCATAGTTGTTTTTTAAATTGTAGATATGATCTGTGTGTTTTAAGAAACTTTTCTATAGGTGTATAGTAGTATTGAAGTATGTATAGTTGAAGATAGTTTGTATATATATTAAATAGTTATATAATTTTAAAAGTTGTTGTATTTTTATTAAGTTCATCAATTTGTGGATTTGGATGTTAAAGAATATTAGTTGTAGACCAAAGGTTGTTTTATAATTGTTGGAGTCATATATGGGTACTTGAGCTTATGAAGCCTTGATTATTTAAGCAAAGTAGAAAGTTGGAGATATGATGTTGTAGTTGGATATCTTATATGTTTTAATACTATATATATTATGATTAAGCAGTGTACTGTTAGGTGTAATAATAGGTAATTTGGCTTTATGTTTGGCTGTAGTTAGATGTGAAAGGATTAAATTATATATAGTATTAGGAAGTATAATGTTATATATACGATACTCTAAGATAGAAATAATAACATTGTTGATAATATAGATAGCTTGCTTGTTAGTAATATTTTTTGTTTTGAGTATATTGTTAAGACCAAATATTTCTTGTTTAATAAGTTTTATTTATGTAGCATATTTGAGTGTAGCTGTGAACCAGCATCTCAAAAACTTGAATAGAGTATATTGAGGTTGTGTTTGGATAGAGTGATTCATAAAACTAATATTTGGAGTTTGATTAGTATTTAATACCAGTACTGATTTTTGTAGATTTACTTTGATATTAGCCATTTTGTAAAATAAAGATGCTGTTTGTGTTATTTGTTATAACTGTTCAAGTGATTTAGCAAGCCACAAGATATCATCCATGTAGGCTAATACAGATGTGAAAGCTGATATTTTTTTGTATTTAGTAGAATTAAGTTAAATAATCTATTCAACTATATATGAGTATCTGGTATAGATTTTATTAATATATGCAATAAGAGGATCATAATAAATATGCCAAAAAAGAGGTGTTATTGTTTCTCCTTGGTCAATCCTGTCTTGTATATTGTAGAGAGGTGTTAGTCCATAATTTGTGATGACTTGATTTGTATGATTTTGTAGTAGGTTAGTGATGATTTGTATAAGTTGAGTAGGCATGTTGAGATGTTGCAAAGCTTTATAAAGAAAGTGTATATTGACTGAGTCATAAGCTTTACTCATATCTTGTAATAGGATCCAGATCTGTTTTTTTGTATATTTAGCATCTTTTAAGAAGTTATTAAGTATATATATTGGGTTGTTAGTAGAATTGCTAAGAAGTGCAACATAGTTGTGAGGATTAAGAATTAGGTGTATAGTAAAGACTTTGGATAGTTGGTTAGTGAGGATTTTGGTATAAAGTTTTTTGATATATTCAATAAGACTAATAGAACAAGTGTTATTTAGATTGATATTAGGTAGATCCTACTATTTTTTTATTGTTTAGGTATATTGTGTATAGTAAGGCATCAGTTAAGTAAGGCAGTGATTGCAAGTAGCATATTTGGATCTGTATGTTTAATCATTTTATAGCTGATTCCAGATGGTCTACAAGCTTTATTGTTAAGCAGTTGTTGAATAGTTTGTAGTACTTTCTTAATACTAATCTTTTCAAGTATAGGATTATATTATGAGAAGTTGATAGAGAGAATAGGTTCATATTCAGTTTGCCAGTATTGGTTAAAAAGTGTGTCATTGTAAGGTTAATATGTTGTTCATTCATCAAAGTAGTTAGTAATATGCTGTTTAATATTTTTTGGATCAGTAATAATATTATTATCTGTTTTAATGTTCTGAAAGTGTATAGCCTCTTTGTGTCTGTTAAGTATACTGTTAATTATTTTGGTAGGTTGTGATAGCAGCTAGTCACATCTTTTGTCTATAGCTTTGTTTATATGCTTTTGCAAATGTTGAGCATTTTCTAGGTTTCTAGCATTATAAAGTGTTTTTCAGTAAGTTTTTATATGTTGAAGCTATGTTGTTAGTTCTATTTGTTAAGTAGGTAGATTGTTAATAGAAAAATTATAAGCTGTATTGATGTAACTAATTAGGTTAGAGATATTGTCAGGTAGATAAATATTGTGTGAGAAGAACTTTTTAGTGTGATACATAATGTGTCCAATAGTTTTAAGATAAGTTGCTTTGGGTATAAAGGTATAAGATATGTTTAATAATATATTTTTTGTTAGAGATGTATTGTATTCAGTGTTGGCTTGACCAGACCGGTTTGACCATTTGACCAGACCAATTTGACCAATGACCAGTCTGGTCAAAGTATTGTAATACTGGTCGGATTGGTCAAACAATACAGTTACACAGACTAATTTGACCAATTTGACCAATTTGACTGATTTGACCATGGTCAAATTGGTCAAAATTGGTCAGTGTAACTAATTCGAAGGTCACGTTATCCAATGACGATATATATGTACGTACGTAGGTAATCAAGGTACTTCGATTCTCTTTTTATTTCTAATATGCAATATTGGGTTTTAACAAAAGCTACAGGGACAAGAACACGATAATCGATATCATTTGAGTGGTTTATGACAGATAAGAGAATTAGAGCTAACTTTTACACACTAATATTTTCGAAATTGAAACCTAAGGCGACTTAATTTTTATATTTAATGCTTAAACGCATTTTACATGATACTAATTCACTGCGAACTTTTCTATTGCTGTGATCATATTTACTCTATAAGTTATTTCTACCAGTTCTACTGTATCTACTATTTCTACCAAATCTACTATATCTGGCAGATATGTTGAAGCTAGTAGATCTGTCAAATTTAGCTGGTTTTTATCTCAATAGACGATCCACCCTCTACTTGTATACGTACGCATAAATACGAATCAATACTCTGATTTTATTATAGTTTACTTTC